CACACCACCAGCTCTTGGAGCATCAACCCCACCCCCTGCCTCCACAGGAAGACGAGGAAGGCCTCCAGGGTCAAGATGTACAGCTGGCCTGACAGTGGGCAGCCTTGATGCACCCCTCTCCTAAACAGGATGGGCTCCATCGGGGTCCAGACAAGGTGGTGATTGTTGAAAGGGGTCAGTTGGATGCCAGAGGAGTGGGCCTGGGCAAAATGTGGCAAAGAGATATAAAGCTGGTCCAACCAGGAGTGGCATACTTGCTCCTCCTCCACCCTCACATAGGTGAAGGAAGGGGGGGCCGGTAGGGTGTCCACCAGGGAGTAGTCCCCCAGGATCTCCCCAAGGACCAGATGTCCACCAGGGAGTAGTCTGCCAGGATCTCCCCAAGGACGCCCATGGCAGCCTGGTTCCACTCCCTGCCCGACCAGTCTCGTGCATCTAGAGTAATGTTAAAGTCCCTGCCAAGGACCAGGCACTCGCGAGGGTTGAGGGTGCTGATGTAAGTGGCTGCCTGGTGAAAAATATTTGCTAACTCTGGGTCCTTTGCAGGGGTGTACATGTTCAGAAGGTTCAGAACTAGTCCCTGCACTTGGATCCAGAGTTGCAGCAAGTGGCCCAGTACCACCTCAACATCCTGGAGAACCTCCGGCTGTGGGCCTGGGGAGAACAGGGTGGCCACCCCATAAGAGGTGGCCGAGAGGTGACTAAAAAAGACCCTGCCTCCCCACTCCAGCTGCAAATTAGGCTCATCGGCCAAAATCGTCAACACCTCCTGCAAGAATACCGTGGGGCACCCCCACTCCTGAAGGAAGGAGTGGGTGTTGGGAGCAGCTGGGGAGGCCCCCAGAAGCTGGGCCGCTCCTTCTCCCCATGTGATGGTCTTGGGGCGGGATGGGGGAGTCATCCACATCAGAGGGCTCCAGCTGCACTCGGGCCTTCCTCTTGACTTTGCACCCAGAGGGGACCTGCACCCACTCAGCCATGGGTTCTCAGGTAGACAGGCTCCAGTAGGAGAAGGTGAGGGTTGGAGGGGCAGTTACAGCGGGGGGCACGGCTAGGGGGAGGGGGCCCTGCTCCCTCTCCTTCCTTGGCTGCTGCCCCCCCCCCCACAGCTCATAGCGGGGCTGGGAGTTGTGCCTGGAGTGCCAGGGAAGCCTGAGTGGGGAGAGGCACCAATGGTAGAGGCACCCCTCTCACCAGCTGGACCCGCAGATGCCTTCCCTGCCTGGCCTATGGGGCTCTCATGATGCAAGTGCCCTGGAGTATAGCACCAGAAGCACCACAGGTCCCCCAATGTATAGAAAATCCTCACTAGGGCCCCCTGAAAAGGAATCACAAGGACAGCCGTCGAGGAGGGTGTTCTTGCCCTGCACCATGAGACCCCTCTCCACTGCCTTTTGTGCAGCGGCCTCCAAGGCAAGGAAAATGACCCCCTTGCCATGAATGCAAGAGGCAGCCACAATCTTGGGGGCCCCCAATACCCAAGCCAGGACCTGCACCAAGGTCTCAAAACTCAAGTTCTCCCATGTGGGCAGTTGGCACTTCACCCCATGCCTGCAGGTAAGTGCTGGAAAGGGGGCCCCGCCACCTGAGCTGGAAGGGCTGGCAGTGGAGGGTCCAGGCCCCATGGCAGTGGGCCACCCCGCAGCCACCTGTGCATAGCTGTGGTTCCCCCGCTGGGGGGCTGCATTGGTGGGGCTGGGGCTAGGGCCAGGGCCAGGGCCAGCCTGAGTGGGTGTGCTGACTGGTGTGGCACACCTGGTCCTCTCAGGTGCTGGTGGTCTAGGCTTGGGGGCAGGGCCCTTGCCTTTCCCACCCCCAGCTGTGGAGGAGGCTGAAGAAGAGCCCTTCCCACTGCCCTTGCCCTTGGTCCCTGATGGTGGGGAAGGGAGCTTGGGAACCCCTCTGGGAGAGGCCTGGCCAGGGGATACCCCCTGGTCCTGCTGGCTCCCTGCTGGAGTCTTGCCTGCCCCCACAGCAGAGGTCTCAGGCTTCTCTGTCCCTGTAGGAGGTCATTTGGACTCTGGGGTGGGGGCTGCAGGGGCATGCAACCCCTTGGGGGCTTGGCTGGGATCTGCCCCCATGGTGGGGGCTACAGGAGGATCTGTGGGGGCATCTGCCCTCCCAGAAGGTTCCTGCCCTGCCATTTCTTCACGTAGTGGAAAGGGAAATCAATAAACAAAAGCAAAATATACAGTTGGGCTGGTGAATCCAGTAGGGGAAGGCTGGGGCTGTGGGGGAAGGAGTGGGGGAGTGGGAAGGGGCTGAAGCTCACTGAGCTACAGCCCCACAGGAAACTGGGAGGGCTATGCCTGGGGAAGGTGGGGGAGGAAATACATATACACACACATGCACACACACACACACACATGGGCTAGGGAGACTCAAGCTGGCTTACTCAGCCACACAACAAACACCAGGGCAGGGGAGTGGACCACAGGACTTACCACACGAGGGCAAAACACACAGGGGAGCTGCTGAGGCAGTTGTAAAAGATGGCTGGAGGAGTGGAGGCACCTTGTTTGTGGAAGCTCAGTGCAGAAGCCCCTCAGGCCTCCAGCCAGGCACTCAGCAGCAAGGCAGAAGGCAGGAACACAAGAACAGGAGTAGATATGGTGAGGCAGCTGTGGGGGAGTGCAGAAGCAAGTGTCAATTAAGGAAGTAATCCAGTGTGGGGAGGTGCAAGGTGGTGCAGCAGGGAATCTCTCTCTCTTCTGAGAGGGGGCAGCAGCAGAACAGGAGGCAGCAGCAACAGTGGTAGTAACCGTCCAATTCAGCCACTCAGGGTGTGCTTCGGGTGAAAGTGGAGGTGAAGGCGGGGGTCGCCTGCCAAGGCAGCTGGGGAAGGCAAGGCACCTTCAGGCTCTGGCAGTGATGGTGGAGGAGGGGCCCAAAGGCAGTGCAGGCTCCCTCCCCAGGCTGTTCTCTGACTGTGACTTGGCGGTGGGCTGGGCAGCAGGCCATAACAGGAGTGCAGAAGCTGGGATGCACTGCTGGGGTGCATTTCAGTGGGCCCCTCCCCAAGGGGGGGGCAGTGTTATGCAGCAGAGGATCCCCCCATGGGGGGGGCAACAGCAGCAGCAGCCTGATGCAGGAAGGGGCATGGCCAGCTTCCTTCCAGATGCTTCTGAAAGAGCTAGCAACAGCAGTAGCAGTAGCAGCCTGAAGCAGGGAGGGGCATGGCCAACTTTCCCCAGAAGCTCCTGAGAGTAGGCTAGCGACAGCAGCAGCAGCGACAGCCTACATGGTGCATGATCTACTTCCCCGAGAAGCTCCTGAGATCAAGCAACAGCAGCTGCCTGGGATAGGAAGGGGCGTGGCCAACTTTCTCTCAGAGGCTTCTCTCCCAGAAGCTCCTGTCTGTTTCTAACATTCAAATACCGTGGGCCCTAAGGTCCACCTGGCTAACTAGTAGTCCCTATTGTATGGAGACTAATGGGTGAATGCTACAACAAAATACTTGGCACAACTGATGAAAAAAACAGGATAGGAGTGTTGTGTGGATCAAAGGGTCAAAACTTGAAAATGAATGTGCCTGAGGGGAACACTGAGCACAGCCTCCCAGGCCACACCCACCAGTCCTCAAGGGCATCCAAGGAGCCAATGGACACTGCCCACTGGTGCTCTGCCCAGAAACATGCACAGACAAGTGAGAGGTAAGTGGCCCCACAGTCTCCAGGCACCTTCCCAGCCAGAGCCTCCTTCCTGGCCAAGTACAAGGCCCACTTTGTCAGGGTCAGGAGGAAGTTGACCAAGAGGTCCTGGGACTTGGGGCCATGGATGGGGTGACCAAAAACAAAAAAGTGGGGGTGAAATTCAACCAGAATCTTAGGAGAAGATTCTGGAGGTGGAGGGGCTGCAGCCTGGCACACTCAAGAGTCATGTGCGCTAGGGTCTCCCTCTGCCCGCAGAAGGGGCAGGAGATTGGGATGTCCGTGAAGCTTGCCACGTATATGCCCATGGCGACGGCTCCACAGAGAAACCGCCAACTGAGGTCCCCAGTGGCTCATGGGATGAGGGTGGAGTACAGACTCAGCCACTGAGGTGCCCCAACTATGCCCTTGCCAAGCAGGTCCTGCCACTTTGTGCCCCAGAAGCTCCTAAGGGCAAGTAGCCTAGCCCTCAGTTGCTTGCTAGGGCAAGTTTTTATACTGCTGGGGCCACCACAGGGCAGGTTTTTATACTGCTGGGGCCAGCACCTCTAGCTCCCCCTGGCTGCAGATCCGGGAGGAGACAGGCAGGGTTATTTTGCCCCAAATGGCACAATTTGCCCCACACCAAAGTTCATGTCCAGGCATATGCACTGAGGCAAAAAGCCCTGGCTCAAATTTGCACTGCTTCTATTCGAGCTATGAGAGCCATGGGGCTCTTTAGCCTAGAAAAGCGCAGGCTCAGGGGTGATCTGGTGGCCTCCTATGAGTTTATTAGGGGTGACCACCAGGATCTGGGGGAGCGTTTGTTCACCAGAGCGCCCCAAGGGACGATGAGGTCGAACAGTTATAAACTACTGCGAGACTGTTTCAGGTTGGACATAAGGAAGAATTTCTTTACTGTCCGAGCCCCCAAGGTCTGGAACAGCCTGCCATTGGAGGTGGGTCAAGCACCTACATTGAACACCTTCAAGAGCAAATTGGATGCTTATCTTGCTGGGACTCTGTGACCACGGCTGACTTCCTGCCCTTTGGGCGGGGGGCTGGACTCGATAATCTTCCGAGGTCCCTTTCAGCCCGAATGTCTATGAAGTCTATGAAATCTATGAGCTGCTGCAAGCACACATGTCTGCATGTGTGGATGTGCACTCTGAAGCTTATACAAATCACTTCGAAAGCTTCTTCCTATGCTGTATATACTGAAAATGTTGTAAATGCTCTTAAAGAATAAACAATAAGATGGTATGAAAAAATAATCTTAAAAACAGGTAAAAATAATAATTTTGTGCTGATGGCCAAACTGACATGTAGTACATATAAAACTTTATTTAGGAATTTTTGTACTGTTCTTACCTTGAAGGCTTAGATTTTTCTTCTTTCACATTGTAAACCCAATCAGAAAGCAATTTCTTACAAAGAACAAATAGTCCTTTGCTTTCCCAATATGTCTTTACCTCATGAATATTCATAAACCTAAGAACATTATTTTAAAACAAAAAGATTATACTGCTGGAAATAAACCTATAATATACACACAAGTGTAAATTGGTATAACTCCACTGGAGTAAAGCAACATAAATTTATTTCAGCTGATGATCCAGTCTACAGTATCACCTGAACAGATGCTTCATAAATGCAGTAGTAAATATTCAATGCTACAGTATTCTTTCTTATTTTACACTTCTATTATGTGAATAACAATATAACTGGATCAAATTCTGCACTCAATTCATGCCTGCTTAAGTAAAACTGAATTTGTGCCTCACTTAAGTAAATGGGTTCAGCCACAGCCATCCCTTGGGGGAGGCGAATCAGTGCGACCACCCCGGGCCCTGTGGACAGTGCCATACAGTCCCTACTGGCTACGATGCGCCACCAGCTCTGCGCTCCAGCTGCTCACCACGTCCACCTCCCAAACAGGCCCTGCACAGCTTGTTATGCCCCAGGCCCCACACACCCCTCAGGCCAGCTCTGGGTTCAACATACGTATGGTCAAAGACAAAAATATATATCCAGGTGCTTTAACTAAAACTCGTTCAATAAGCATTAATTAAAGAGCTCCCACTACCATTTTGAAGTGCGGGATTACTGATACATGAGACACTGGAGGCACCACACTATAATTAAAGCATGTCAGAGCATGCTAATTAGCACGCTCCAGCGGCCTCCATGTCTGCCTCCTCCTAAATCAGAAGCAGTGTAACAACAACCACACAAGTGGGCCAGATACTTTGAGGCAAGCTAACTAACACTGTTACTCAGTAATGCTAATTAATACACATCAAGGGTGCCTGTAGATGTATGGGGGGGCTGCTCCAACACACTGTAATTACAGCATGTCAGAATGTGCTAATTAGCGCCATCCAGCAGCCTCCATGTCTTGAGTATCAGCATCCCTGTGCTTCAAAATGGTGGCGGGGGTGCTTTAACTAAAGCTCGTTCAATGAGCTTTAGTTAAAGAACTCCCACCGCCATTTTGAAGTGTGGGATTGCTGATACATGAGACGCTGCAGGCACTTTAATTAGAGTAGCTCTCTGAGCCACTCTAATTAAAGCACTACCCACACCC